TGTAGGCTACCAGCTCTCTAATGTATACACATACTTCTCAGCTTTCTGAAATGAAAAAGAGGGACAGATTTTAGCTCAAAATATGTAAGCAAAGGACACCCCCGCTTCCCCCCAGATTACTTGAACCATTAAAAGATATGCAAAAATGATTGGTCATATCCACTAGTGCTTTTTTAACCACTACATTTAGAGTTTGAATGAAAGGTTTAGTGCAGTGTAACACTTTTGGCACTTAACTACTTGCTGACCGGGGGTGTTAAACCACATTCCTGGCCAGGCCATTTTTCAGTATTCAGTGCTGAAGTACTTTGACTAACATTTGTTCCGTCATGCAACACTGTACTGAAATTAATTTTATACCATTTTTTTAGGGGCATGTAATGTGTGGCATAATCGTTGTTTTCGCATGCAGGCGCACCTGACACATATTTATGTTTATAAGTGCATGCACGCAGGGGCGGGGGAGTTAAAACTTTTTTGGGTGTTTTTTTTTTTTTTATATGAGACTCATATTTTTTTTAAAACTTTTTTTTTGTTTGTTTTACTCTTAACTTGATTGCGATCATAGGGGGATAAAAAACCCCTATGTGATAGCCAATATACAATGACAGCTCCTCTCTATGGAGACATCAGTGGTCTCTAAGACTCCTAATATCGCCTTGGGACCCCCAAAGAAGCTGATGGAGCAGAGATCTGCTTCACCAGCTTCTTCTCTGGCTATAGCAGCCAGAGAAATGACAGCTAAAGGCAGAAGTGATGTAATACACAATGTCTACTGACACCCTTTGAAATAACTGTCTAGAGCTAGGCTCCATCAGACATACACAAGCTTTAATCTACCCACTACAGCTCTCTGTTTATTACAAAATGGGAAGAGGAGCTAGAACTCACCTTCACACCAGCCCAAATACACATAACCATATACTTTGTCCACAAATCATCAATTAATAATGCGTACCAAGAAAGGGGTTATACACTTACTTGCTGGTATAGAGCTCAGACTGGATTACAAACCCTTGTTTTCGACAATCCCAAACAAGTGCTGCCATTGTGATAAGGCAATAGGATCCTTCATACAATGTTGTATTGCTCCAAAATTCAGGCATTTTAGAGAGCAATAAAAACTATTTCACCAATATTGACCAATTCACCCATACCAGAAGAACCTTCTTTTTCACCATAGCACCCACTCCAGGAAGTTATACGAACAATCCCTTCTCATTAACCTGATCAATGCCAGGGAGTGTATTCCATCTATGGTGCAAACTGGAGCCCCCGACACAGGCGTGCTGATAATTTTTAAGGAAAGAAAACAGAGAACAGGAGCGCAACAACCTAGCACAGTAAAAAGGGTGGGCACAGGGAAATGAAGGATAGGGAAAATTGTTGCACTCACTCATGTCCTGATGTGATCGGCCGTAAACAATAGCAACTGGATACAGAACACTCAGCAACCTGAAACCTGTGGAGTCAAGATGGGCCCCAACAAGGACTGTCGCCAGTTGAAGGAAACTTCAGTAATACACTGCTTCATACATCCACCCTGGGTGAGTGCATTAAGTTTTATTTTCCTTTATTGCTCTGGGATATTGTCCTCTTTTCTCCAGATACAGTTCTTCCACGGGAAACCCCAACCTGTGACCACCGGGGCCGCACACCTACACCCACAACACCCTTCCTTCCTTTTGGAATGCACTATTTGGACAATTAACTTTCACTTGGTGAAAAATTAAAGCACATTGAGGGCCTCATGTCCACCATGAACGGTACCAAGGAAGCCTTTTGGCAGTGGTGGTTCTACTGGATGGAATTTACACATTCCTCAGAATATATTACAAGGTCTACAACTTCCTCAGATTACGGTATTACACAGAATATCTATTTGGACATTCTGAGTTGTGGAATTGGGCCTCTTCCATTCCCATGACCTCCTCCCCACGTTCTTCCACCCATTCTTCTCCTTTCCTTACTCCCCCAGAACATGTTCATGTTTCTCACCCCATTTTATTTCCACACACTGCTAGTGATGGCACCCTCTTAACAACCCCCCCCCCCCCCCCCCCCCGTCGTCGTCGTGAGTCTCTACAGTTGTGATCTGGAAGAATTGGAGATTTCATATTTAAAGAAGATGCACACACCAATGACAGTTGACTCTTTTTTTATTGTTATAATGTATCATCTGTGATACGTGAATCACCATTCTTTACAATTGCACCTGCATCTTTGTTTCAGGAGCTGTGTAGACACATGGAGTACTTTCTTGTATGAATGGAACATTGTCGACAGCAACTTTATCTTCTCCAAGAGCCTGCATAAAAAATTCATTAAAAAAAAATATGTAAAACGTTGGAAGTCAATAGCCTGGGCACAGGTGCACCATCCATGATTGGACTCATTCAAAAGTTTGAACATTCAGTATTATATAATAATAAACATGTGCAGTCTTACTGATATATATTTTCCCCATTTTTGTAACTTGTTGAGTCAGGGAGTTAGAGGTTCCCCAAGGTCTGAGATTTGTTACCTTGTTATATTCAGAATCTTGCCCTATTGTAACTGTTCTCCTTAATGTCAATCTTTTAAAATGTAATTTCTGTGCATTTTGTTAAAAAGTAATGTACGTAAAGGTCACCCCTTTGCTTCCTGCTTAGTAGTACTTAAAGTAGATGTAAACCCCTGATGACATTTAGTTTGTGCTGTGCACTGTGTATCATAAACAACTGCCATTGTTTTTTCACATTTTTTGCATCTTACTGCTGCTGCTCTCTTCCAGCCCCTTTCAGATGCTTACTTTCTACATGCTGTCACGCCAGAGGCAGCTGCATGGCATTTCTCTAGGTAGACCTAATAATGACATCAGTGGACCATGCTTCCATAGTGTGTGCTGGGATGGCCCATTGTAGTTTGTAATTGAGGCATGCGTGACAAGGTGATAATACAGGAGCACAGTTGGGAAACAGGGACAAAGTGTATTCACACTATAACAAACAAACAAACAAGGACCTTCGCCAGGTCTTTTATTACAAGCTGCAGATCTAAAAATATTGACAAAGATTAATTTAAATGCCAGTAACATTTTAGCAACTATATACGATTTTAGAGCAATAGGTTAAAAAAATGGCACTCGCAAGGGGGTCCATCCATCCAGTACTTTATTCGTAAAAAGGCATAGCAGCAGTAAACAAACACTTACATGTTTCAGCCCCCAAACTGGGCCTTAATCGTAGCTACGTGGCTACGATTAAGGCCCAGTTTGGGGGCTGAAACATGTAAGCATTTGTTTTTTTGCTGCTGTTATGCATTTTTACAAATAAAATACTGGATGGACGGACCCCCTTGCGGGTGCCGTTTTTTACCTATTGCTCAGGGAAGGCTCTGGCAGCAGCTTTACCAAGCGCTGAGGTCAAGCAGCGGCATTGGAGACAAGAGGGTAGAGGTCCTCAATGTTTCTAAACTGATACAATTTTAGAGATTAGGTTTACATATACTTTAACAAAGGCTGTTCTTTTCTTCTCCACTCTTTGAGGGAAACCCTAAGGGTTAGGTTTGCCCTGACTTAAAACCACAGAACCCTTAGGATGGGTGCACACAGGTGAATTTGCTATAGTGGTTATTAGTGATGAGCCGAACACCCCCGTGTTCGGTTCTAACTCGAACTTTCGAACATGGAAAAAGTTCTAACTAGAACTTAGAACTCAATGCAAGTCTATGGGGGTAGAACTCAGAAATTTAAATGTCCCCATTTTGAAGCCTTGTATGCAATTTATTGGCCATAAAAAGTGTATGGGGATCCGGGTACTGCCTTGGGGGACATGTATCAATGAAAAAAACACTTTTAAAAAATAAAATTTTTAACTACCTCCGGGCCCCCTTGGGAAATGGCCGGAATTTAAAAACGGGCAGCGATGCCCGTTAATATACATGCGATCCGCCGGCTGAAGGGGTCGAACAGGCCGCGGACATCCCATAATGTTCGGCGAACGCTAGAACATGCAATGTTCGAGTCGAACCTATGGTCGACGAAAATGGCACGCCCTCTGTGTCCCAGCGGGAAGGATAATCTTACCATGATTCATCGCTAGTGATTGCTAGAACTGTTGCATGTAGTAGCAATTAATCATGAATAGTAGCACAATGGTCTAATTTTGTGACATGCAGCAATTGCTAGAAATTAATCATGTGAAAATTCTGGGCAATGATTACTATAAGTTGAAAATTGTCCAAGTGTGCCCACCTTTACAAGGCTAGGTCTTCTCTCAATAGTCATTAAAAAGTACCTAGAATGGGAAAGCCCAAAAAATACAAAGGGCTACTTACCAGTATTGCCTGTGGACTTCCTGCAGCTGATTTTCCCATTACAGACTTACCATGGCTTATTCCACACTGTATCTTTGCGTGGAGGCAGCCATCTAAGTAGAGGCAGGCCCTTGCTTCCTCATGTCTAAAATACCACCCTGATGACTGGTAATTGGATGAATGATGGAGGAATAATCAAGAAGGAGCAGGAGATGTACAGAAAGCACAAATCCACAGAATGAATAAAGCAGAATAGTATTAACATGGAAAAATCTCAGGAGCCTAGCAGTAACAGACGCAGTGCCTTAGATCTGACTAATAGGCACAGGAAGTCCTCTGCTTTATTTCAGGAGGAATTCTGGCAAAAGGTCATTTATTTAGGGTAGGTCTTAGGCACAATTAAAACTTATACAGGTTTCCTATAACATAGCAAATATCAACTTTTTGGGTTCGTGGTCATTTTAAGCAGCGAGAACCACATTCCCCGTTACACAGATGACAAGTAGAGGGAGCAATTACAAATGTGTATGTATATTCTGAAATACAATAACCCAATTCATCACAAATGATGGGAAAATGTTATAACAACAACTCAAAATAAGGACTTACTAAAAATACTATAATGCTAGTTTATAATACTATATGCTAGTTTCTTTCCTACTGGTCATCCCGGCATTTCTATTGTGGTTGCAACAAGTGTCACCATATCAGAATATGTATGTACATATCTTTTATGCTTTCCAACTTACTACAATAATCATTGTTACTTTGAAACATATATTTCTTCTATAAATTTGATCAATTTCAACTATTTACATAGGAAGATAAAAATGAAGGTACACCCACTTTATTACAAGGCAACATGCAAAGGGAAAACAAAGCACGCTGGTCCTTGTGTAGGTAGGTCACTGAGAACTTTTATGTTCCATTGAGGCCTTTCTGTCTAGTACAGCAATAGAATATTAAGACCCATATGATGAACATTATGAGCTCAGAATTAGTTCCTTGCCTCCCATGCCTTAAATAGATTTTCTCCTCACTCTAAAATGATCTGTATAATGCTGGTTGTCAGGAGAAAAAATGCTGTTGGGTGAGGAGAAGCCAGTGTTATCTCGAGTGCTTAGTGAAATTTCATCGATTTTGTAAGAGATTGAGTTATAGTAAACTGGGTTTGTGTGACAGCTCAGGCTTTCATGATTAGATATTGCTGGGCTATTACAGAATGGAGGCCTGTAACACATACATGCGCAAAATGAACCAGCTCTAGAGGTTGCATTTGAAGATCTACGTTTTCCTCTGTCATTGTCATCCTGCATGAGGGGTATGAGGTTTATCTGGCTTGTTGTATCTCCAATAGGAAGAAATATAGAACTGCGACTTCTGGCATCCATTTTTGACTGAAGACCGATGGCGTTCTGTGCCCTCCGTAAGGAAGCCCTTTCCTCTGCATCCCGTCTTTCATCTTCAGAATTCATGGTTAAAAAGCGGAGGACTACCAAGTTAAGGAAAGCGCCTATAACTGTAAGTCCCACAAGAATGTACATAAAACTAAATGCTACATAGGGTGGTTTCTTCTGCAATGCCTCATTCTTCTGGAGGGCAACAAAGTCTCCAAACCCAATGGTTGTAAGAGTAATAAAACAATAATAGTAAGAGTGGAAAAATGTCCATCCTTCAAAATATGAGAAGGCAGCTGCTCCAATGCCAAGTGTGCCAATGCAAGACAATAAGCCCACCAATACCATATTTTCCATAGACACCTCAGTCTTCCTCATGTGAAAACATTTTTTCAGCTTCTTTAGTAAGAATCTGACAAACGTGTTCATGCGTTCACCCAGACTTTGGAACATGACGAGAGTAAGAGGAATCCCGAGGACTGCATAGAACATGCAGAAGACTTTTCCAGCATCAGTACCAGGGGCAGCATGACCATATCCTGGAAGAGAACACATAATTGTTTAACACAAAATGCTGTCATGGGCATCATGGTAGATTTACAGCACAGTTATCAAGGTCGTAAAAGCAATTAGGTTTTACCTAAAATATACCCAAATCATCTAACAACATCCAATGGCAAGCGAGGCAGCTAACAAAAACAATTATTTTCAATAGAGCAAAATTCCGACTAGCCTTCCACTGGAGAGGCACATATAAAGAGTCTACTTTTGCAGGGTGCTTTTATTAGATCTTTTATTAGCAAAAGTGTCACTTTAACAAGTCTTAAGATTTTAAGGGATAAAGCTAGCAACCGACATTAGAGAATGGTTGAATGAGTCAGACAACCTGACTGCCCCACAATGCCCCGGGGCCAATTTTCCTAGCGGCACAAAGGCTCCAGTTTAGGGCAATGAAGGAGGAAAGGAGAGCTACATGTAGACTACAGCAATCAGGTAAGATGTTTCTAATTTGTTTTACCTGTCAAGTTGTTTTTTTATTTCTGACCATCAAATTCTGAGATTTACGCAGTTCTGCCACACACACAGTTTTGCCCAGAAGGGGAGGGGTCCTGATTGCATTTGCATTTCCATTTGAAATGGGTTGTCAATGCAAGGCAATGGACACAAAAAAAAAGGTCTCTGCACCTTTCTTTTTAACACCGCAGTGTGCTACATGTGTGTTGTGGTGTGCTGCAGCAAGGAGGTGTTAGCACTTTCTTAAGTTAATAATACGCAATGCACTGCACTGCACAAGGAGCAATGCATTGTGTTAACGTAGGTTAAAGAGCTAGTTTTACTATGTCACAGCAAGCCATAGGTCTGAAGTTAGCCTAAAAAGCATACATACACACACACACACACACACACACGCAAAAGAGAGAAAAAATAAATTGACATGCATTGAAAAAAATAAAGCTGGATTTGAGCTTTTAATTGGGAATGTCAATGAAAACCTCCTGAGTTGGGTTACTAAGAGTCTGAAATAGAGCACACAAGTTGCATATCCTGTATTTGGATTTTCCAACCGCAGTCATGGAGCAAATACTGCAACCATACAATAAAAATGGACATCATTTGCCCTAAGAATGTTACACTAAGGTAAAAAAAAAAAAAAGATACAATATATTTTCCAATAAATGTCAGACAAAATCACAAATGAATGCCAATACTTAAAAACGATTCAGAATTTTTGTCCTGCTTATAACGGGAACTATACTAAGTGTTCCATAGGTCGCGTTTGTCCTACCGCTTACATTAAGAATAAAAAGGAGAATAAGGCAACAATCCTCATTTATGAATATTGTCCTGGTAATATTCCAGTGCAGGGTGGTAACAAACAATTCCTGTTTAAAGGGTTTCTTTGGTATATATTAGTTTATTAATTCATTTCAGGACAAAAATGAAATAATTTGTTTTCATAAATATTTAATATCCATCATTTGCAGACAGGAGATAGAGCTGTTCACCGGACAAACTGACTTCCTGCATCCCACTGCGCATGTTTGTGAGTTTGCGCATGTTATGATATGAATTAATGCAGACGCGTGGTATATGTGCGTTGTGGGGCATTGCCATTTATAATGCACATACAGTATACAGTGTGAACCAATGTACCTTAATTCAGCACACCACAATACACAGATTTGAATGCACAGTGCACTGTGGTATGCTGTGTTGCCCAAATAAAGTGCACATATAATTTCATGTTTTGAAGCTTGTTAAGGGTCCATTCAATGTGAAAAGGTTGTCTTAAAGTAGTAATAAAAGCTGCCTGCTTTTTTCCTTAAAGCATTCTCTGCATTAAGGTAAAAAACATTCAGTACCTTTTTTTTTTCCCCGTCCCATTCAGCCATCAATCACCCTTTAGGGAGGAGAGGGGGGGTGTGGCCTGCCCCAGGGCTATGTGGGTCTATGGACGTACACAACCGCTGTGGGAACACGCACCCACGGGTTCCTCCAGAGCAGCCGCTTAGTTTATAGAGGCACACTTGCAGGGGGCGGTGGGGGAAAGGATGCGGGGACCCACTAGAAAACAAGGAATAGAAGCTTTTTTGAAGAAAGAGAAAAAGAAGATGTATAAGAAGGTGGGCCTCCTAGATGGAAAAGTAAAATAAAAAACAAAGCTTTAATATCACTTTGATGCAACGCACCTTCCGATGTGAACTGCTATTTGGAAAAATGCTTAACAAAAACTATTGCATATACGACTTTATTAAAATGTATTGCATGTAAAGCCAAAGTTTTTATTTAGCTTTGAATAGAGCAGATAATGTAGGAATCACTCCTGATATGGACTACAATCTCACGCTTACTTTAGTCATTTGTACTGAAGTTATAGTCTATCCCAGGAGCGAGCTTGGCCAAAGGGGCAGATGCCCCTGCTGCATCATACTTGCTTTACAAAATCATATTTTGTATTCAGTCCCATGAGGGCTCATTTATACCATCTCCCTTGGACTGAGATATTCAAGGCAAATTGTATATGTAAAAAAGCTTCCTCAGCGCTAAAAACGGGCTTTCGACTGTCTCTTGCGGTTCCAGTCCTCAAAAATTAGAGGCTGCTTATCATAGAGATCCTCTTCGACACATGTAAAACAAAAAAAAGACAGAGCACCACCTCCATCTAAAGAAACATTTATTAAATGATAAAAAGGGATTTAAAAATGTACTCACAAGTGTCCATATGATGAACGCTTTGGACACGCATATGCTGTCACAATCGAAAATGTCAGAAGGGAATTCCTTTTACAGCACACTTGGCTACCATCAGATTCTCCTGATTTCCTTTGTCACTGTGCCTCGATCCATTAACGCAAAAAAAAGTTATACTCACCCAATCCTCGTAGCTGGCTGCACTCCCTTCCGCCTCTCTCCCTCTCTGTCACAGGGATGGTACGTGCCTCAGCATACACAGTGTAGGAAAGGGACCTTAGACCGCTGCAGCAGAGAAGGAGAGATGCTCCAGGGACCGGTCTAAGGCTCTGAAGGTCCAGTGAGTATCATTTTTTTTTACCTACCCTAGGCAACAACGAGCAGTGAACCCTTGCAGTGCAGGGGTAGCCCAACTAAAAGGGTTCT